CCGACACATATGCTTGCCTCCAGCCTAGTCACCTGCCAGGACGCCCACTGAATTCAGCGCCGAGTCCCCCCTGCACGCCGGGGTACGCCTGCACTGCGTTTTGAGGAGGTTTCTGCACTGGAGCCACTTCCCAGGCAGTAAGGAAGGTGGCCCTCGGCGGCCCGGCCGGGTGAGGCGGTGGGCACATCGGGGAGCAGGCGCTGGCAACAGTGCAGAGGTACCTGCCAGGGCTTTGGGAGGATGGGGCAAGAGCAGGTGAAATTCTTGCTCCGCTGAAGTCAGTGTCGGCACTGCCAGCATTGCCATCCAGCATGCACAGGTGTGGTTTTTTTCTCTTATGCAATTAAGGAAAACAGTGTATAAAACACGGTAGGTTGGTTGCAACCCACCCTGTTTTCTGCCTGTGTTAAACTTAGGCTGCGAGTCCTCGCCTTGCTGTGGTGTCGCTTCTTATTGATAAAAGTTTGTGGGGCCTTTAGGTCATTGGCCGTAAGCCTCAAATTAGCAGATGTGTGCGGTTCCTCCCCCTCTGCTCAGATAACAGGCAGTTGGACACACCGGCTCTGTTCAAAGCAGAGCAAAGCCTCCACTGACCTCCCAGGGCTCAAGATTTCTGCTCCAGCTTCAGCTCCAGACGCCAGACCACTTCCACCCCCTCTTGCTTTACTTGAGAGACCTAAGACACACAGGACTGAGAGTCTAAATGGCACGATGGTGGGCCTCTACCAACGCTTCTCCTCTAATTGCAGTCGACTTTAATTTTGCCTTTTCCACTCTTAACTTGTCTTATCCTACTTCTTAGCCAGGGCAAAATTAAGCATGAGGAAAAAGGCTTATTCAGCATTATAATTTTCTACTCCCAAGCTGTATAACAAAATGGTTTACACATTTAATTGGTTTTGTCTAATATTTCCACGTATACAGTAGTCCTATTAATGAATATCATAGCTTCATTACTGCATATCACATTTTGCTATTTGTTGTGTACCATAAAATAACGTCAGCACATCAATAACTTAAATAACACAAATGTAAACTCATTTTCTGCTTGTTATAATTATGATTTTAGCCTGCAAAAGCTTTTTGATTTGTAAGACCATTCACATAACATGGAATGTAACTTTATTTGTTTTTCTTTTGTATATAATGAGACACCGAAAGCCCTTGTCATCTCTTAACAGGATACTAAAGCAGCTCTGTTTCATGAATGACAGCACAATTAAAGCTAAAAATCATAATTAAAAAAAAAAAAACAAAACTTTGTACTGTACAATCTCAAATTAAAGCAAGAAAGATAATGACAATCTTTTGCATTAGCCAGGAAACGTGATTCTCTGCCACTGGGCTTTTTTTTCTTGTTGACAATTCACAGAATGTGTATATGGGTGTAGTTATAGGTGTGTGTATATCCTATGCAGAACAGCAGTCCCTATTTTGTTGATCTAGTTCTTCTAATTGTTTAGTTAAACTACCTAACTGATACAATTTAGAATACTACATTAACACATTTAACATCAAGTTTACACACTTGCGTCTTTGAAATACTAGGAACTTTTACACATTTTATTTGGCTTTGTAAGGACTGAAATATCACAGATAATGCAATCTACTTGTCTTTGAAAGAATATGGCTGTTCTCAACTAACACTCTAAGGTTCAGAGTGAAATACATTTCTCCTTATATCTGTAGCTGACTTCAGAGAAGATAGAGTGTCTTCTTAAGTGGTCAGTCTGATGTTACAGTACAGATTCTGCAGAGAGAGAGAGAGATATTTAATGAAGGATAATTCTCTCTGGACTTTAGAGTTAAGCTGTTACAGCAAAATTACTCCGTTTAGACTAATTTTTTCTATACAAATCTCAAGAAAAACCTATTCCAAGTATGTTTTGTAGTAGTATCTCCACATGACCAGAGGAGGGCACTTTGAACATCTTTGCACTGCCCGGGAGGCAGATGCAGAAGCACAGTGTTACCCAATGTCGCACAGTCCTGCCACCTCTTCCCACCCAGGCAGGTATCCTTGTGTCCACAAAAATACAGAATCCGTATTGTACCACAGGGCTCTGTTCTGAAAACAGTGGGCAGATACATCACTCTCTTCTCGCTAACTAGGATTTCTTCCGATTTCCCCCATTTAAATCAATGTCGCTGCGGGTTAAATTGAGATTAACAGACAATTCCTAAAAATCACGTGAGGGGAGTTGTCTCCCTCTCCTTCCTGAACACCCCTCTGCTATTAGCCCCTGGTAATTTAGCAAATATTGATTGATTTAACCTTCTATGACTTATCCTGCTGCAGAAATTCCTTGCCTTTAACTGAAAAATGCACTTGGAAAATGCACTCTCTGAGATATGTATTGCAACAGTGCATCTTTTCACATTAAACTCTTGTAAGAGTACTGCTCCTTTCCACCTTCTGAGGGAGGCGACTCTGTGATCTGCTCCCCCGGCAGAGTACATATAGCGGAGAAATCAATCGCTTCTCTTTTCCATTCATGACCGCAGTGTGGAGTTCAGCCACGTTCCATGCAGGAAACATCCTTTTGGGTTTCATTTTGGCTAAAGGTATCAACCTGCTATGGAAAAGATTTTAATTTTGCAATCTTACTGTTATCATAGACAGATTTTTTTTTGTCACCTCTCTGCTTTGTTTTGTTCAAGTTTAACACTGAAAAATTATTAGAAAGGATTTAGAAACTTTTTTTTTTTTTTAAAATAAGTCTCTTCTTCACCCTGGGGAAACACACTGCTTATTTAATATACTTTTTTCCCTCTCAACATTATTCCTTTTCTCTTTTCTTCTCCTTCTTCTTTTTTCTTGTCTTTTTTCTCTTCTTTCTTTTCTCCTTTCTTTTCTAGAGCAGACAGGTACAAGAAGGAAGTTGTCTTTCATCAGCAGTCCTTTGAGATAGAGTAGAATTCAGTGAGTCCTCACCATGATAGGATCATAAACTTCCTGGGTTAAACCAAGCTAACTTTCCCTAAGCTGCCAAGTTTTAGCTGCACCATACATATATGTGTTTCCTTGTGCCATTTTCTTTTCTTATAATTTTGTTTTTCTTGATGACCCTGAGCTATGGCTTCTGTCTCGTTTCTACCACTAGTCAACCTTCCTTTCTTTTCTGGTTTTGCCGATATAGGCCTCAAAGAAAAAATGGCAGAAGAGCACAAAGTAGCTGAGGTACATGAGAGAGGACCAGATGATGTTCTGCACGTGGGAATGGCACTGGCCATGCTGCATCCAGGAGAAGACCAGGTAATTGATCACACAACCGACCAACATCTGAGTGATCTGCGACAAGGTGATGAACATGGCAAACTTGCGTGAGACTCTGAAGCCAGCAGCCCGCAAGGCGTAGTAAGAGTACATAACGGCGTGTACTCCATAGTTCATGGTCATGAACCAGCCACCGCCAGCCACCATGTCCTTGTAGGAATACCAAGAATAAAGTAACACAGTAATGTGATGGTACCAGTGTAAGAAGATGAGCTTCTGTTTCCTAAGAATAATGAATATTGTATCACCTGTAACAAAACAAAAAAAAAAAGAAAGAAAAAAAAGGAGGGGAGGAAATGAGAAACATATTGAACAGTTCCATAATTACTGCAGTGTTCTCTTCCCTTTGATGTTGCTGGAGTATACACTATTTTGGAGCATGAAAAACCACCTCAGCTCTAGATCTGAGAGCCTGTCTGATCCGAGAGCCACCTTGGCTCCTAATCTCTACGCAATCTTTGGAAAACCAACGTATCCACATTTTCCTGTGTGGATAACCCCTGTTTGAAAACACCATAGGTTTACTTGGTAGCCCTTTGCTGGAAACATAATCCGTGCAAGTCTGAGGTGAAGTAGGTGGATGTATATCCTCTCTGACTGTGAGATCGTCCATTATATACTGGGACTAGAAGAGAAATGCAGCTCGACCGAGAGCAGAAAACCTGAAGGGGAAGAAGCACAGTGCCCTCCAATTCAAATGCCTACCTGCAAACTAAACCTAGTTACACTCAGTAGAGCCTTTTGAGCTACTATGCAAAAAGCTATTGCATATGCAACCTACAATACCGAAAGGCATGTAATTGCCAGAAAAAAATGCTTCTAGAAAGAAATTTAGTTTATGTTGAAATGCACATCCTTTTCTGCAAATTCATGTTGCTACTGTAGAAAAGTAGATTTTATTTCTCTTTCCTGCTTTTTTATTCCTTCTGCTTCTCATGATTGCACTCCGCATCTCAATTAGATATATGTATATATGTACGCTGCTTGTTTTCTATTGTTATAGACACAGTGTTTCCAAAAAGATCCCTGAGATTTGAATCTGGGGACTTATTTCTACGTATATGTATCCCAGAAAATCCAAATCATGAATAGTAGGGATGTGTGGAACCAAAACTGCACTGTCTGCACAAGGGCTGTAATAAGCCATAATGCTACTGTTTACTTCATTAGCTGCAAGATGTTGACTCACATTTTAATAAGTAATCATATGTTCAATTTGCTGTTGCTGTGCAGTTCTAGCTGATGTTTTCCAGTTTTAACAAGTAAATTTCCGTGGTTTTGCAGTAATTTAAGCAGCAGGAAACCAAGGGATTCTGACACAGCAAGGCAACCGGTGTCTCTCTTTCCAGTTTTTATGCTGATGAATTGCTGTCCTGTAATTTGCTGAATCAAATTCTTTGCTGAAAGGTAAAGACTTATTTTTACTGTACACCTGAACACAGTGAATGCTGAAGCCCTTTGAGGTTTAGTAAGGGCATCCTCCGAAATGAAAGCTGGAGGGCTGCTAAATCGCTGCCTCCTCCTTCCCAATAAAACAATCCTTTCTTCCACTAATAAGCCATGGGGTAAGAACACATGCAGACTGGCTATTAAGTTGGCTTTGGCACGCATATCATAAATATCCCTACCAAAAAACTGCTGGAGAGACGGGAGTTTATAAGAATCAGGACTGGCAAAGCTAGGGATATTATAGGAAATTGGTTTCTATTTGGAGGAAGCAGACAGCCACAGCTTTCAATGTTTAGAGAGGAAGCACGTTACTGTTCATAATTGTACGCCTACGTGTGTATTTAAGGATGAATGCTGCAGAATGGAGGCAGAACCTGACTCAAAGCTGCTTGCTGACACAGCTGCTGGAGCCCCCCCTTTACATCTGCAACCATGGGGTGAGTGACTGCCAATTACGCTACTCGTATTTGCCTATGAGTAGCTAAGGAAGAAGTGTGGACCAGATTGCTCTTACCTCTTGACTGCCCTGCTGTGTATAATCACTGCAGTTTATTCCTGGGCTGGGAATGGTCTTATTCAACTGCACATTACTCTAACCTCAGCCAAGCTGGACTTAATCTCTAGAGACTAAAACATGCAGAGTTTGGGTTTGGTTTTGTTTACCCAGTTTTTCTAAGACTAAAATGAGATTTTGACAGCACTGAAACCCTTCTTGTGCTTCCTGCACAGACATTTCTGCTCTAAATATGCATAGTGAGAGAAAGGGAGAGAGGGTACTCACCTAATTCGGGTGCTTTGCTTAGCACAAATGCATATGCCCAGAATTTGCTGACCGGTCCAATGTAAAAACCTTGGTCACACACTGACTGCTTCAGGCCTTTGGTCATCAAAATGTACAGCATATAAGCACCAGTTCGAACAGCACCGAATATACTTAAAAACAAAAAGAGAAAATGAAGAAAGTTGAGTGAACAGTTGAAATCTACATGCCATCACTTCAAATCATTATGAGAAAATGGCCATAAATGTGCTGAAGTAATAAGTCTGAGACAGCCTTAAAGCTGGAGCAACTCTGCTGGCTTCTAGGAAGTTATTCTGAACTCAGATTTGCAAACTGGACTGCAGCCATATCCCCTGGTGAAAGTCTGGAACGGTAACGTCAATGCTTTTTATTTCATTACTACAGGAATGATCCTTCAGTTTTCAGGAGCAGTGGGAGACCTCTACTTCAGCTGAAAACAACATGCAAAATTTTGATGCTGACGGCTAGGAGACTACAAGAAGTGAGTTGATAAAGAGCTGTCATCAACATAATCGGGACCAATTCCCTCTTCTGCTTTCCTCTGAGTCTTCTTTTGTCTCTCCTTGTGTTTGTTACACCCACAGGAGCTCTGAGCACAGACAAACCCAGGTAGGGCACACGGATTTTGATGGGGGTCTCAGTCAGGGCTGGCGTTTGGGTGCACGTGCTGACTTCACACTTCACCTCTGAAGAGGTCATTGCTAACAGAGGAATCGACTAGTTGAGTCAAGTTGTAAACAGCAGATTCACCCTCACCTCATCAAAGTGAGATGCAAAGTAACAGTGTTCTGTAAATGAGAAACGTAAGAGATTTGCAATGGTATTAATTACTGCAATTACGGAGGGGAGAGGTTCAGGTAACAGAAGACATCCAGGTGATGTAAGGAACAAAGGCTTCTGTCTCAGCAGCGAGGAGCTCTGCAGAAGGAATTGCCTCACTGTTTTATGTTAAGAACGTGCTTGCCCACTGTCTACCATTGTAGCTTGTTGGCCCTTCGAAAGCTGTGATGAATATTGGGTGAAACAAGCAGCTTTCAGAAAAATGGAGCAAAGAAAAACCCCATCTCCTTTGGGGTTGAGTATATCTTACTTTATGCCTACATCATACGTCCCTGTGCCTCTACCCAGCTCCATCTTATCTCCCCTCTGACTTCTTTGTGACCTTGTCCTACTCATGAATCCTCTGGTTCCTGCTCTGCCTTGGTGTCTTTTGTGACTATCACCTGGCAGCAAGCAAACCAAGCCACCTAAAACTGATGTGTAGACACACGTGGGCAATCCAAGCTAATATTTATGCAAAGTGTGTGAAATAAGGAACAGTTCACAGAAGTTATAGATTCTCTGTTACTTGTCTTTGTCTTGTAAAGTCAATATTCTTTAAAAAAATGTGTTTTAAAATCATCAAGGCAGCCTCAAAGTTGAGGTCTATGGCAGTTCTTATGGCATTTGGTCAGACTAGATGGTTCAAGTAAGCCTGCCAAGCTTAAAAACTGTTGACCTAAGGTTTTGTATTTTTTGCACAAAGTATTTAGATTTCCAAATCTGCAGCGTTGATATACCCAGTCAAACCTGCCTGCTGCTGAGGAGCAATGCACCTTGCTCTCCCTTGTCCACTGCATGCACTCCACAACTGAGCGGAGCACCATGCTGCCTGGTGCTCTTTGGGGCTCTACAGCCAGGTCATGCCTGGGGAGAAGTGTCACATCCTGGCTCCCGCACCATTACATTTTGATGCCTGAGGTTTCACTGTGCCATCAGGAAATTCAGACAACAGTGAGCACTTAAGAAGCTACTGTTATTATCTGCTATTTGTATGGTGGTATTTGCTCATGGGCTCTACTGCCAGATGAGTCCTATGCTATGTGCAAATAAAAAACCGTCCTGCTGTGGTACAGGTGTACTGAAGGAGTTTAGCTGAGTTTGGGTTTCCCATTAGCACTGCCCACAGTAATGCTCATATTCCCAGGCTTAGGCAAGACAGCCATTGCAGTCTCTCGCGTTCATCCACCCCTGCATTCAGAAGAGAAAGTGCAGTATTCTTAGCATCTACGCAGCCTGTAGTGTATCCTCTCCGTGTAGGGTTGTTCCCTCCCAGAAATGCTCTCTCAGTACGCTTTTCTCACGTCTTTTGGGGATCGGTCCTTTTAACTCAGCAGAGAGTGCCAAAGCCTGCAGGAGTTTGGAAATGAGGCGCAACTCGTTCTGTGTCTTCTCTCTGGCTTTTAACATGTGCCCTTTTTTTCTCAGGAGCTGCATTTCTCATTCCCAAGAAGACAGGAGATCCTGACAGAGATGTGATCTGATCGCTTCCTCAGGCAGTGAACTCCTCAGGCTAGCCAGGGCAGGCTGCTGCTTGCTCCTGGGTTTTGGGTGGTGGCAAAACCGGGTGGAGGAAGATCAGGCAGAATATCTAATGATACGCTGGTTATCCCATTAGCAAATACCTCAGTGCTGACATTAAAATGGGGGGAAAAAAGGAAATTTTAAATCGTGAAATCTAATAGCTGCAAGCAATACGCCTTTCCTTGTACAGAAGCTGTATTGCTTTTCTAAAATATCATTTATTATTAAAGTTTTAAAACCAAAGAGAATTCTGTGCCATGAACACAAACTCAACAGGCAAACGTTGACTTAACTGTAAGCGATTGAGTACGGACACCCAGGGATTGAATCTGGACTGATAACAGAGCCAAAGAGTATTTGCCCTGTGGGGATTACAGAGTTTCACTTTGCTGTCTTTGAGATTATAACGATGTAATTCTTCCTGTCTTTCTGTTTAGCAACTACCGCAGAGCTCTCCTTGGACTGCACGCACGCGCGCACACTCACACTCACACTCATACACTTACTTTTCTGCAATTTCACAGCACAGTGGCTTCCTCTAGTTCCGTGACTCTAGAAGAAGTGACTCCAGCTACTGCTCTACATGGTGTGAGTCAGACTAATGTGAATTTTTAATCAGTAAAAACCAAGTTACATTTTTGCATAATTCACAAGGGAAAGCTTTATAAATAAGGAGGACGGCAAACTGGAAATAACTGATTCAATTACCTAAACAGACGCCATGAGCAGGTAGCTGTTTATGAGATGTGCTGCATGCCAAAATGCTATCTTGCCAACAAGCACACACCACCGGAGACAGAAAAAGATCTAATGCACGCCTGCAAATGTGCCTTGGACCCAGAGAGCCAGGACTGCTTTTTGTGCCTCTGCCACTTAATCTTGTTTGTTCTGTAAGGTAAGATCAACCAACAAATTTCTGTCTCGCAAAGACATGATGTGCAGCAGAGTGATGACATTGCTTGCTCAGTAAATCACTTCTGCTTCATTTTGTCCTCATCCTGCTCTCTGCTGTAGCTTTTGTGAGGTATTGAAATGAACTGCTTACCAAAGCAGTCTGTCTGGTGGGAATCATCTGCAGGGATTTTAGAAATAAGGTAGCAGTGAATTACTGTACAATTACAGCCTTTTGCAACTAGAGAGACTGATCAGAAACAAACTGCACCAGCTAATGCAGCTTTCTCATCTATTCAGACTCAAAATGTCCTACATTCTCCTCCCTTCAGGCAGTGACTTCTCTGGTAGATTAACAAGTGCCCAATTGATATTTTTCCTGTCCATAATATGATCAAAACATATCCATGAGTAAAATAAAACCTAATACTTTTCCCTCGCAAACTTGTTTTCAAACGAGGGCCTCAAAACACATCCCATGCATGGATTAGGCGCAGCATTAAGAAGGAGGGAAACTGAGGGCTGGGGAGGTAGCTGATGGGAGGACAACACAGGCGTTAGTTAGCCTGCTATTGCTTTCTGTTCCCTCCATCCTGCTTACCAGGAGGGAGTGAAGTACTTGTTCCTCAACAGCCTGAAAGGGCAGCAGGTAGTTCAAGACTTCAGTTCAACCCCAGCTGCCATTGTAGCAGGCCCAGCTCCTCCTCGCAGCGAGGAGGACACTGCCCATTTTTGCTAGGGCTGCTTTCTATGCAGACCCATCACTGCATGGGCTCCTGACACCTCTGGACATCCCGGTTCAGGATCAACGCTGCAGAATTGAGCAGGGAAGGTGACTGCTACGTAAAAAAAAATTTAAAAGTTCAGCACAGAATATAGCAACAACTGCTAAAGGATTTTAGTGCTGTGATAATCACAGAGCAGAAATTCTCTGTTCCAGTCAAAAAAAAACCCTTGAACTAACCAAATGCACCATGCAAACTGTATCTGCAGAACTAGGTAAAGATGGCATTGAATGGAATAACAGTCTTGACTATTGCTAAGGTGAATGTAAAACACGTGAGCTACAAGCTACATGTAAAAAGTGGAGTATCTTTATTTTCGAAAGCATGACATCCTGCATACACAGCACCAGCAGAGAGCAGCAGGGAGTCCTCAGACAGCAAGACCCAGCTGTGCTGCGCAAAATTAAGGGCTGGTAGGGACTTCAAGCAGAGCCCTCCTTACCCAGGCCCACAGGCTGTTCAACATGGCCCAAAGCACAGGCACCCAGCTGGTTTGACGAGTCTCAGAGGTGTCAGGCTATCTTCTGCAGTAGGTGTGCTGGGCTAGTCCGGCAGCGAGCCAGTCGGGCACCCAGCTACAGCTCCCATGGGTCCGGCTCCAGCTCCCAGCCCAAGGCCTGGCTGGAGGAGAGAAGAAATCTTAATGCTGCCCCGACCTGCTTACATGGCAACTCACAGGAGTCCCAGCAGGTGAGTCTGTGCCCTGGGAGCAGAGGGAGGTGGCGGAGAGCATGTGGTCCTCCTCAGCGAAAGCCACCTCGAACAGACAGCGGTCCCGGGAGAGCAGCCGAGATCACCTTACGTGCGGAGTCACAGCCCTCAGACTGCAGCCTGCTTGCTTGTATTGTAACAGTGAGAAAATAGGGAAGCAGGTTTTGGGGTTTGTTTTTGGTTTTTTTTTTGTTTGTTTTAGCATGCAAATTATTTACAGAGGAAGCACTGTGAGTTAGAAAGAAATGTTTAAAGGTCAGCGGGTGAAGAACGTGGAGCTTCCTACACCTTCCTTCGTGACAAATCAAACCACATCCACCTTTCCGTTCTGTTCAGCGGAGGGTTTCAGCGGTCATATCAAGTTTCCCTTCCGCTGCTGAAGAGCTGCTCTCTTAACACAA